CGGCATCCGTGAGCGGCTTTCACTTCCTATGCAGCGTTCCACGCCTGAAAATACAGCGGACAACCGGTTCAGAACACAACTGGAAGGGAGAAATCCTGCGACATTTACAAGTCTCTTCCCAAGAGGCGGGACGTAAAACGCAAATTTGTGTAAGGGTCGCTTTCACGCTGGTCTTAGAGTGCAAGCGTTTTGTTATGATTCTAAAATAAATCTAAAAAAATAATTAGGAATTCTTTTTACAAGTCAAAAAACATATGCAACAGTGGTTGGGTTAAGGACCATGGCCCGGTACATAGTGTCAAAAATGGTATACATACACTAAAGCTATCGCTTTCGCGCACTCCGAATCACTTTTTCATAATACTTTATGTCATTTTAAAGCTAAATGATTTGTATACGTTGTTTCGAAAACCGTTTGCGCGCGCACCATCCGGTTGCCGAGATATGGCGCATTAAAATTGGTGAAAAGTTTAAATGCATTCTTGTGTATCAGAAGTCTAGTTATTACCCGATCTTGAGACTCGGCTGTAAAAGACATATGGCCATAAAGCCAGAAGTGAACCAATAGCAGATCCATGGAATTTTTTCAGATGTAAAAATGAATTTTAAAATTTTTTCAATTCATTTTAAAATCGGAAAAAAAGCTATGGATCTGATACTGGTTCACTTTCGACTCCAAGGCGATGTGACGCTCCTAGCAAAGTTCAAGAAAATCGGGTAATAACCAAATGTTCGGTACACAACAATGCATTTAAGCTTTTCGCCCATTTCATTTCGTCATATCTCGGCAACCGGATGTTACGCGCGCAAACGATTTTCAGAGCAATGTGTACAGAGTACAAATCGTTAAGCTTCAGAATGACATGAAGTATTACATAAAAGTGCTTCGTAGTGCGCGAACGCGAAAGGTTTATTACATGTACCGGGCCATTTTCCTTCGCTATGTACGTTATGTACCGCGCCAAGACCATGTTCGTGGAATCGTACATCTTTTGTACGTCGTATTGCAAGGAAGGCTCCCTTCTATCTGTACAAGGCACAAGCACAAAATCAGTGCACACAGGCTATAACAACAGACTACCTGTACACCACAGGTGACGTGCCCAGCGGAAGTAGGCCTGTCGCTAAAACGCTTTACGTTCTCCCACAATGCCGCTAAATACTAGTACTGTCTGCTTGTCAGAAGTTATCGATCACTGTTTTCACAGAAAGAACAGTTTTCACTGATAAAAATGTACATACAACTCTTTCGAGGTTACGAAATTTCTGTGCAGCTATTCACTGACGCAAAATGGATGCGCGAATACACTTTGGTTAAATAAGCGTCTTCTTTAGTCAAATGTAGTTCCGCAGACCAAAGCCAAAAGCCAAACTGCGCTGACAAGATCCACCCGATACGGAACGGCTCGCCTTCACAGCAGCTGCGACCAGCCCACCGTCATTCCGGTCACAGCTGGCCCTGCAGATGCCGGCTCAGCCGACTGCAGGTTGGTCAGCTGCAGTCCATCCATCGGCAGTTGGATCGGTTGTACATCCTGCATTTTTAAACTAGTCGGGAGCCGGTTATGGCATCGAACTGAAAGGAGAGCCGGAATATGGAATTTGTCAAAGTATACCATAATCATTAACACCGGCCTTGTCACAGCAGCGCGGCGTCGGTGTGCGAGCGGAGGACGAGACGGCGCGTTCCGCACATGACGCCGAAGCCGGCCGCCAGTCAACCGGGCAGATGTGCGCCTGTGGGCTGTAGCAGCGTGCCCGGCTTGGTTGATGGTTAGGTGCACGTGCAGACGCAGCAGCCAAATCAGGCTGCCAGCGATACTGCCACCGGCATCGCACTGCTGCTGCACCGGCACATGAGCTGTCCATGACGAAGATAAGGATGCTGATGCACCACTACCAATGGGAAGCCTCATCAGCCAAGAAACCCCGTATACTGTCAGGTGGGCAATTGCGCATACAGTGTTATCGACCTCTGATTATGTCACGTGTTATGTCAATAATGATTGTGGTAATGGGGACCAGCAGTGGCAGTCTAGATCTGGGTTGACTTGTTAATTTTGAATCATTTTAGTTAGCTCTACCAGCGCAGGCTTATACTTGCTTAGATAAATGTGGATAATTGTGGTAATGCCAAGCGTGAACTGTTTATATATCACAGTGTAATATGCGCTAACACTCACTGGGCGACGCGAGGTGAGAGCTGGGCGTGGTCCGGCCCGAGCTGCCGGACGCATGCACACCCGGTCGGCGGCATCCGCATTGCGAGAGTGGCGGTTGGAAGGGGCGCTACATGCCCGTCGGGCAGCCGGGAGGTCGGTACTGGCAGGCGCTTCTGAAATCCCGGCGGTCCGATGGGAGATTTCGGTGGTTTAATTAATGTGTGACAGCGCCACTGTGTCTATACATGTCACGGCCCACGCGAGACCCATTCCTATGTCGTGCAGTCGTCGCACAGGGGATTTCTTGTTGGTGGTCCTTTGCTCTACACCATAGGCATGATGTGGGCCAAGTCTTCGAACCATTAAAACCTTTAAAACTGTTATTCTTACTACACTACCCTCGAGAACTCGAATCGGACATTCCGCGTTTTTCGGCTATTGTGACTGATTTGACGTAAGAGATACGTTTAGCTTATTAGTTATTATGTAGTTTTATTAATTTTGCGCTTCCGGTATAGAAGTTTCTATACTCCTCAAGTGAATTTTCCTTATTCGTAAATGGTGAAATTTTGCTCATAGTTTCACGGATGAGCACGCTTTCTTTCCCACTTGCAACGATAGATAATGTAGTGCACTGGGCTTGCATATAGTGGCCATCTTCTAACAGTAAGCGCAAACATTGCGCGAATTATGCATTAGACGGATCTTTACGTGTCAAATAACAAACTTGTCCCGTAATTTCTAACGTAAAGACTACAGGTATTTAACATTTAGTACGCATGTAACGCGAAGCTTGGGGTACGAGCGATCGCCACTAATCTGAAACGATATAGTAATAAAGCTAATAAATACTGCAAATCATTTTAATCATCAATAAATTTATCCTTACTGTCACGTATTACAAATAGGGATTTTAATACCACATGAACGCTGGCCAGTCAGTATGAGAACTGAACACCAAACAGCAGGAAATACGACTACCACAAAGCAACTGTTGCTAAGTACAACATGACAACACTACACTTACTGCAGTGCGAAGTCCACTGATCACCTGAAAATAATTACAGATGCTTGTATATAAGTTGGTAAATTTGTGTGTACAAGTTTGCACATGCGTTTGTTTATATTATTTTATTTGCACAAATTGTACTGTATAGAAGTCTGTATATAAGTTTTTAAATTATTTTGTTGTATATATGTACGTCGGTGTTGTGCTAGTCGCGACGGGTCTTTAAAATTTGGTTTTCTTTGTACTGCTCCAGTCAATCTCGTGGTTGAGCAAGGGTTTTAAAATGATTCAGTAACACCTGTAAATGCTGTACCTGTAGGTATATGTTTCTGTACCGTGTAAGGTGTAGGTTCGGTTGCATTTTACTGTGCGTCGCGCAGGAGAATCCTTGGAAGCTTTGAGACGTCTGAATGTTCACGAATCAGGTTGAAAACGGCACCTAGCTCTGCCACCTGCAATGATTTCTATAATTTGTTCTCTATTTTTCACCCGAAGTTGTGCAGAAGCAGCCCCTTTTTCGCACGAAAATCAAATTCAAAACGGAAGATTTCGAAAACTGCCAAATGTGAACCAAATCACGGTGCCATACCGGGCGGTGCCACCTGCGTTATGCGCCGGAAGTCCCTGAGATTCGTTACTGTACAACGTTTAGCTTTGAGCTCTTCGTGAAGTCTTAATGTAATCAACCAGCAAATAGATATTTGCAGGAGTACAGGACAACTTGAAGGCAATCACTCATACGCATTTCGAATTACGCATGTTAAAGCGAATCAACAATAAAAAAATACGCAACACCTGTGCGGCCGACTGCTGTACATATCTACGTATTTGTTTGACGATGTGTGTAAGAGCTTGTCTACCGGCTATGGTGGCCTCTAATAATTAAAATGTTCCTCTAGCGTTCTGAATAAATGCAGTCAAAATGATTCACTTGATTAATGTTCTTTATTTTGGCTTCTGGTTTCCACATTTTTACGGGATAACTCCGAAACTTCGACTAGGCTTGTATTGGTCGTTGACGTTTCCTAAAAGATTAACTTTTATCATAGGTTTTGATTGCGGATAGAGGAAAAAAATCAATCACGTTTCGGCGGCAAGGTTTAGGGTCCCCTGGGGGTCCCCTCCTGCCCGCTTTCAAATTCGAGGGAAGTGTACTACTCTTACTAGCGTTAACGCAGATGCCGTGCGCTATCTTATGCTTACTACAAATACAGTAAGGAACTTCGGTACTCGTACAGTAACTAATGGTAACGGTACCAGACATCCACTACCGTTTTCGGTAACGGTTTATTTTTATGTACTTTAAAATGGATGATGTTCTCTTATATTGTTCTCTTGTAGGCATGACTCCATTTTTTCAGTGATTTATATTTGCTTGCCGATAGAAAATGAGAAATAGAGCGCTATAATACTGGTTAGTACCCTGGTGTTTTATGTGTGTATGTACAGTAGGTGCTTCGCAATTCGCCTAGAATATAATACAAAATTTCTCCTGAATACGTTTGCTGACGGTCTTTACTACGTATTACACAAACTCATATTCCGCGGTACCCATTTTTGTGGGCGGTCATATTACCAGTTATCCTTAGAGTTAAAGTGCCTCCTAATGCAGGCAGCAGTATCAAAAAGAGACCAGCAATTATGTAGATCTGATTATAAATTGTGATGCAGGAGCAAGATAAAAGCGTAATAATAATCGCTTGTTGTCAACACTGCACCAGTGCCAGGAACATGTACCAGTTCAAACGCTTCTTTAACCAATTACAGATAGAAAGTTTCTTACGTTGTACTAACATCGTCTGCTGACACGCTCGTTTTTGTAGTAATACGTGCCAGCGCTATTAAGAGCATGTGGACAGCTGCATTAAATCAGCTTGCTGTTGTTGTTGAGTGTCGATTTCGCTGATAAGTTGCCGTGCACAATGTATAGATATCTTGTCAACAGCCTGCTATTTTTTTGCTGCGCCGCCGGACTCATTAATCGTAATAACAATATTATCGCGGCGAGCTCGGTGAAGACCTCGGCCTTGGTCCGGCAGCTCCTCGCCGCAGACGACGTCCACGTGCCGCCCAACGCCGACCAGCCCGGTCAGCCGGTGCGCGTCAACGTCGGCCTTCAGGTTGCCGGTGTACAACATGATGTAGGTACAGACAGAATAGCGGTGGCACTGCACTTACAGGATTTCCGCTGGCTTTTCACAATTTTTAACTCGGCCTGGGGTGGCTGGCATTTTACAATTTCTCTTTTCGAGCGATATGTATGTACGTTTACTTAAAAGAACACGCCCGGTTTGTAAATTTTTTGCGCAAAAATACACGATTCATGGGTAACGCTACGAGTAGGATACCACCGCCCGCTATGTACAAGCGTGTACACCCTTTATAATTATGCGTTATTAGTGCATTCGGCATGGCTGATGTACCCAAATATTGATTTCGCATAAACAGATTTATCGTAAAATCGAAGAATCGGTTGAAATTATTTATTATCTAATTCGTCGTAGAATACAATCCATCATTGCTATAATTGTAGCATCGTGGTAAGTGTTCTGTGCACAGTCCCGTCTCATGTTAAGGGATTTGGCCCGGTACATAGCACCAAATTTGTGTACATCCACGGCAACTTTCGCTGTCGCGCGCTCCCAAACCCATTTTTTTGCATTGCTTTATGATATTTTGTAGCCAAAGGATTCATATACATAGGCGAAAAAACCGTTTGTGCGCGCAACATGCGGTTCGGGAGTTATTAGTGAAACAGAATTCCAAAAGTTAAAACGCGCGAGGTGTACCAAAAGTCTCATTATGAACCGATACTCTTCAAATTTTGCACGAAAATGCACATTACTATGAAGATCGTTTGGTACCGAACCAGCTTTCTATCATTTTTTTCAAATTTTAAATTAATTTTTAAAATTTTTGAAATTCATTTTAAAATTTGAAAAAAATGGTAGAAAGCTGGTTCGGTACCAAAACGATCTTCGTAGTAAGATGTGTTTTCGTGAAACCTTTGGAATTCTGCTTCATTAGTAACTCCCGAAACGGATGTTGCGCGCGCAAACGGATTTCACGCCTACGTTAATTACAAATCCTTTGGCTATAAAATGTCATAAAGCAATGCAAAAAAATTGTGTAGGATTGCGCGACAGCGAAAGTTCGCGTGTACAATATGTACCCGAATTTGGTACTATGTACCGGGCCAAATCCCTTAATTGGGACAAATTCTTCATCTGAGTCTTTTGATTGAACGAAGCTCGTCAATGTGCATATTGCAATTAAAGTAACACATAGCGGTTATTTTCTAAGCGTTTAATTGAATGTACAAAATGTGTTTACGCAAGTTTTCACGCTGTATGGCACTTGTTGGGTCTGTTCTAGCGCTCGGAGTCGGATTTGTTGATACTGCACGGCTTTCTAGACCTGCGCTGGGAAAACAGCCGTTTGGCGTGGGACCCGCTGCAGCACCACAATATCACTGCCGTACGGCTTCCGGCCGACCGTGTCTGGGTGCCCGACATGACACTGTATAACAGGTAAATATTGATTACTGGCGTACATGCTAATAAACCATCAACGGCAACGCAGAGTTCATTTATATCTATATGTCTTCTCTTCCTTTGAGTCTATGTTGGTGCATTCTTGAACAGCTACGATGCACGCAGTGGAGTGTTGCCGGCAGACAGGACGCTGGTGTTGGTGTATGCCAGTGGTAATGTCCTGTGGATACCGCGCGTGGCCTTCCCGCTGAGCTGCAATACAACGCAGAACACAGCCGGTGATAAAGTGCACTGTGCTATTAAACTAGGTACGTGCAGAAGAATCTGCCGTTTGTTGAGACTAAAATACACATAGTAATACGGTGGTTTTAATGACGCAGCTTCGTGGATGTATGACGCTTCGCTGTACGCGTATCGCGTATCGCGTATCGCTGGTGGATGTTGAGTTGCTCACCGACAGAATCGAAACAGCCGGTAGTGTGCCTACGTACAGTATCTGCAGAATAAGCTTGTACAAAACCTTATGCAATGCTACAGTACAGTGTACTGTTTATTGCAGCCTATTCACATCTGTACAGTGGTTCCCGCTACCGTATAATCGACAGCAAGATAGAACGCAACGTCGTCTCATACGCCTGCTGCCCCGAGTCCTACCCGTCCATCGACATGACCTTTACCGCCCAACGAGCAGCGGCATCGTAACAGCGACTCGCTTGGGCGGCGTTCATACTCAACTCGCTGCTGATACTACTACACTAATGCGCTGGGCTATTCGTCGTCCTAATTACTTTTTACTTATCGTTAATAAAATTGTAATAATATGTGTGTAATCTGTATGAGAATCGGCTTAAACTTATTAGCGCCGCGGTGTCTGTCCATAAAAGCGCTACCATCTCGGCACAGAACCACGTTGGCCTTGTAACGCAGAAGATTAAATTGCCGATAGCGACCCGTGACGGTATCGTCCTCCGAAATGTTTTATGCAGAATGTGGGGATAAGAGCGACATTAGTTCACTCATTTACACATAAAAGACCGTAATGCGATCTATTTGCAAGTTGCATACGTAATCGCGTTACCGACATGCACTGGTACCGAGTACAGATACAACACATTATTTTTTTTTATTTAAAGGTACTGTAATCCATTAATCCAGCTACACGTTAAGGAAAATGTAATGTAAGTACAGATTCCTGCCGTGTGCATGTATATGTACGATTATGTACGGTGTAGGTATGAACGTATGAGCAGCATGTACAATACTCGTATATGCGGATTGATATGGTGCACATTGCACATTATCAGTAACTGCTGTACTCTGTATTCCGATGTATCTGAACGTTCTCCTATGTAGCGGGAGTATTTTCCAGTCCAGATAATTTTCTTAGGTTTCCTAGTGAATTGAATTCAAAGTGCATTAAGGATACGGCAGTGATAAAAACAGTTGAAAATCTGGAGGATTCGTGAAGGATATTAGAGGATTCTGTGGATACAAATCAAAATACGTGCCCGGAAACATTTAACGTGTACTATCCAAGCCATAGGCGATTTGTGTATCCGGTAATAGGCAATTTTACTTTCTTTCTGCTGGACCTGTAAGAGGGATCAAATCTTCAGTAGCTTCAAGGCAGATGGAAAAACGGCACTTTTCAACATGAAGTACCATCACATAGCCATGGCCTTAATTAGAATTTTTTGGAAGTTAAATTTTTGCCAGCCAGAACCGTAAAAGCTACTTGAGTGTATTATAAAAACCCTTAATTTTAACGTCAAATTGCGCAGAAGTGCCTGAAAATTTCAGAGTAAAGAAAACTGAAATGGTATAAGAAAAATTCTCTTGCTTATTTGAGAGTAAAAAACTACAGCCTCAACGAAATTCCCGGACTATTCCAAAGTAAGAAAATATAGCCAGAGATACAACGAACAGCAAGAAACAAAGAATTCACCAAGTATCTGTATGTACGTACATACACGCATTTAGCTAACCGCTACGCTTTGCGCTTATCATTAGTTATAAGGAATGATCTTATAACACACTTGGTACACTTTTAGACGATGCTGCGCTACGAATCGCTGTTGCGTTACGGATGGGAGCTCCGGTCTGTAAGCAGCATAAATGCCGATGCGGTGAAATGGTTGATGAAAAGGTCTGCACGGTTTGTCATGTTTGAAAAGCCAGGGGAGATTCAGGCGTCATGCAAGTCTGAACAGCCTAATTCAGCAAAGCCTGGGTTCAGCAAAAGTTCCAGCTATTCTGAGCCACCTGGATTGTGCAGGTCAAATGGCAAGCGGCCGGACGGTTTATCACTTTTCCCCTGGAAGAACGGCCTCCCTTTGATCTGGGATGTAACAGTGTGCGACACGTTTGCTATGTCGTACATCGCCGGCTCATCAGAAGTATCGGGATCGGCAGCAGAGGATGCAGAAGAACGAAAGCGGCGTAATTATGAAGAACTCACCGATCGTTATTTTTTCCAACCTCTGGCCTTCGAAACTGCGGAAAGTTGCGGCGTCAGTACTCGTCAGTTCGTCAATGACGTTGGTCGACGCATAAAAGAACAACAGGAGAGGCGTTTTTGTGGCAGCGCATAAGTGTTGAAATTCAACGTGGAAATGCCGCTTCTGTTCTTGGAACTGTTGGTTGTTTAAAAGAGCTAGAGGAGTTGTTTTATTTGTTCTAGCTTTTGGTTACTTGAGTCTAAGTTTTTAAAGGGCATTTTCTTATACAATTTTGAAATAAAAAAATATTTAAAAAACAAGATCTTATAACAATAACTATAATAACTGATAAATAAAAAGAAAGTTATTGAAATGATATTGTAAATACTGCACGTTGCTTAAAAATCAACTGATGGGAAATTAACTGATTCCCTTTACAAGCGACGCATAGAAAAATACGACGTAAATCCAACGTGATATATACAGGGCGAATGTAAATGGTTACTAACAACCATTTACAGAATATTGCAGTAGGGCAATTCCCAGCGTCTCTGTTCTGAATTGGCTTAATTATCCTTACAATTAGCGCTCCCAATTAAGCAATAGATATCATGCAGAATCGCTTATGACTTGCGATGCCAGAGCTAGATAAGAGCGTAATAATGGATTGCCGCCAAGATTACACTGTAGAGATGGGCATCGGATAGGAATATCCGATTTTATCCTATCCGAATCCGAATTTCGGATAGGATAAAGGATAATTATCCGAACCGTTCGGATAGGATTAGGATAAGGATAATGCCCCGTAGCCTACGGATAGGTTCGGATAATGGGTGCTTGTCCGAACTTTATCCGAGAATCGAAATAAATTATTTGCGCTGTTAGACTACAAGAACCACAAGCGGTAGCAGTGACACTGCAACATTAAAGATTGTCGCAGCAACAAGAAGCAGTTGTTCTTTTGTGCTATGCTGCATAATTAACCGTAACTGCAGCTTTCGTTTCGCTTTTTGTACGGAGCAAGCAACATGATTTACGCATTTGCACCAGTTTATTATTCCATCGGTTTAACGTAGGATCGGAACACAACCGTGTCGAAGGCAATGAAGTTTTGATCATCGTTATTGTTAAGGAGAAAATCTTTTTGACTCGGTATATTAATGGCGGCGATGTAACTTAATCGATAACGTTATTAACTTTGTCGATAGTAACTTTTTTTAAATTAAAAAAAACTATGCGCTGAATGTCGAGTCTGAATTTTTGGTTTTTTGTTAAAAATTGTGTTTTTGGACAATTATCCGGTTATACTCGGATATCCGAGGGTCGGATAAGGATAGGATAAGTATAAAGAAATAAAAAAAATTCGGATAAAAGGTCGGATAAGGATAATTTTAAAAAGTGTCGGAGAGGATAAGGATAAAGAAACCTTATCCGATGCCCATCTCTATTACACTGCACTAGTTCCGTAGTTCGCGAGGTACATAATTATAATGTATGTACTGCGAACGCTTTTTAGCAATCAAGATAAAACTGCATATACACCAGATAGCTGTCACATTCGTTCTTGCAGCAATACGAGCCTTCGCTATTAAAAGACTGTGTAAATCTGGATTAAGTGGAGGCCCTTAACACTGCTGTTTTGCTGACTATCGACTCCGCCGATAATTGGCCGACAATGTACATCCACAGCCTGATATTTCTTTGCTGCAGCGCCGGGCTAATTTTCCATAATGGCAATATCATCGCGGCCAGCTCGGAGAAGACGTCGGCCTTGGTACGGCAGCTAATCGCCGCTGACGACATCCACGTGCCGCCCAACGCCGACCAGCCCGGGCAGCCGGTGACCGTCACCGTCAGCCTTAGCGCTGCCGGCATACAACATGACGTAGGTGCAGGCTGTGCAGCTCACTATGACCCTGCGCTCACAAAATTTTGTTGAATTTTTGCAGCTCTTAACTTCGTCAGTTTGTATGTTCCTGTCACGTACTTTGTAAATACATTTTATCAGTTTACGAGCCCGGTGGTTAATTTTGTGCGTAAACGCACCGCGAAAAATGCAGATTCATGGGTTAAGGTGATCTCCATACTCTTTAAAAGACATGGACATTTATGGAAAATCCGCTCACCGTTGAAGAGTTATGGGGAGTGCGAGTTGCGCTATTCAAACGCAACTCGCACTCCTCATAACAAACCGAGTTGTGAGCTATACCACGTTACGCTATCATAGACCGTATATATAACGTTCATGAGTGTTACGTACCTTAGCGTAAAGTTTTCCTTGGTAGCGAGTTCACCCGTGGTCGTACACCTATGGTTATGTGTGTGTTCACCTATGGCCCTATGGTCACAGTCCACGCTTTCGCCTTTCTCATGCCCTTGTTAGCCATCTGTATAGACAACGAGAAATTATCAAATACTTAGTCGATTCCTTTGATGTCTTGTTATTTCCGGCTCAGGTCGCTGTCTAAGCTCATGTTTGTTTTGTTGTTCATTTAGTTCTCAGTTGAGTATTAATTACTGAACAGGCTGAAACTTTATAGTGTATTGCGCACTTTAATACGGATGCTGCACGCGTATCGGTATCACTAATAACTCGGGGTAAACAAAAATAGTTAAGTTACATATAACTGCCAAGGTTTGGTCCGTACTCCATACCAAGGCTCGCCACGCCCCACTGTACGCGATCCGTTACAATGTCCGTGCAACTGGCAGGGCTGGTGCACGACAAATATAGATGTCGTATAAACATATATACCGCAAATCGACGAATTACAGTTACTCGAAGACTTTTTCCATCGAATTTGTTTTTTATAATAAATCATCGTAAAACTGAATTTATTATTGCTATACTTAATGTACATCTGTGTTCTAGAGCGCCAGCATTGCGCTTAATACGCACTACTCTACATGTACTTTTATGGAAGGAATTACTGTAATCACTTAGCTTCCAAATACTATAGAAAGGCGTGACAAAAAACGCTCTTCGTGGCATCTCGCGCGCGGTATTAGGATCTCACTGTGTTCGGTGCAAACTACTATAATTATACCGGTAATTTTCCCGCTTTGGCGCCAGCATTCATGTTGTACTTGTTTCTGTCTGCTTTAAGCGTCGGCAGCCGGATGTGGTCATACTGCACGGAACCCTGGAGCTGCAATGGAAGAACAGCCGTCTGACGTGGGAACCGCAGCAGCACAACAATATTACCCTCGTACAGCTCCCTGTCGAACATGTCTGGCTACCCGACATTACGCTGTATAACAGGTTAATTAGTATTGTACGTCATATGATCAACTGCAACGTCAGGCGCATTTCTACGTTGTGTTTCTAGAGCTTCTGCTAGTGCGTCCTCTAGCTGCGACGATGCCCGCAGTCAAGTGTACCCGGCGAACCGGAGGATGCTCTCGGTGCATTCGGAGGGCTCGGTCACGTGGATAGCGCCAGTGTCCTTCCCGCTCAGCTGTAATAACACAGTCGGCGGTGGTGAAGTGCACTGCGCCATTAAACTAGGTATGTACATTCATCGGCAGCGCAAGTTGCGAATTCGTCGTTTGTCGCGAGTACATTAAATGATTTGGTTGTTTTTAATGTAGCTTCGTGGACGTACCATGGTTTGCTGATTGACTTGAAGGCCGGCAGTGACAAAATTCAGGCAATCGGTAGTTGATTTTAGTAGTCTCGAGATATACAGTACATACAGCACGATGTCTATAATGCGGTAAATATTACGGGGCACTGTACACTGTACTGTGCATTGGTGATAGCAGACTATGTCGATTCTTCCCCGCTCGGGTCAAACTACCGTATAACCAACAGCACGGTAGTCCGCAACGTCGTCTTCTACGCCTGCTGCCCAGAATTATTCCCGTCCATCGACATGACCTTTACAGCCAAAAGAGCAGCAGCGTCGTAGCTACGTCTCGGTCCGGGTGTCTTCATACTCAGCTCGCTGCTACTAGTGGCACGCTAATACTTTAATGCATTCCCAGCTGATTCGTCATGCCCTTACGTTCTGTTAACATTAACGCCGCTGGTACACGAAAGTACTGCTCTGTACGGAATTATTATAAAAGCGGAGGAATGTTGTCAAAGGGTTTCTTAAAAATCTTGTCTAATCTCGCCAATTTCGTTGCGCTGTGGTGTGTAAGTGCTTGGTTGTCTTTACAGCACAGAATATAACAAATACAACTTTACATTTTTAATACAAATTTAACAATTTTAATCAGTGTGAACCTACGGAAGCATACGATATGTGCATTCTCTGTTGCCTATTAGAATATGGAGACTTTAGATCTTCTTGCCTAACATAGAAGAGGATGGTGTGTGAGCATGGAGTTTTACGTTTCAAAATTCAAATGTATATATACTTACGCTTTAATTATTATCTTGTTCTTTCTGCTTCTTAAACAATATCCTAATCCAGATTCAGATCTATATTGCCACGAATGGGATACACCAGAGCCGGCAACCAGAAAAGACTGACCAAAACCAATATTATAATATGAAAGCCCGTAGTCGAAAACCCGGCCAGATAGTATTAATTTCTTTCAAAACCTCTTCCGCTTCGAACGCCAAAGCGGAAGAGTTTTGACTACCTTCACCAAATGTAACTAAATTATTATAATAATCATTGTCATCGTGCTATTTTTAATCAGGCAGTGTTGCCACGTAAACCAACTAAAATATACTTAAGTATTTCCCACTACTTAAAATAGCAGAATGAATTTAATTAGCAGACCGTTATTACGACAAGAACGGCTACATATCTAACGTCCGTCTGTTCAATCAGTGATAGAGCGAACTACCGCCACTATTCAGTGCACAAACCCGTTATTTCAGGGAGTGACCGAAATACCACTATATTCTAGTTAAAATAGCCCGCTAAGCCAGTGATCGACCGAACTACCACTATGGATATCTATGTGAGCGGTTGACTGAGCTGTCATTACCGTCCGATGCACCAAGCCCAGTGGGTGAGCGGGTGACCGAGCTACCACTGCCCTCCATGCGCAGAGCCCGGTAGGTGAGCGGGTGAAAAGCCCGATAGGGAACGAGTGACCGAGCTTTCATTATTGTAGAGTGTACGTGAGTGACCGAACTACCAGTCTACCACTGTGGTCCAGTTGACAGAGCCAAAAGGTACGAATAAAAACGATTAAAACAGAAATTCAAATCGATCGCCCCTGTCTACAAAAAAAGCGAAGGCGAAGCCGAGGTGACCGAGCTATCACTACTATACCGTGCACAGAGTCCGCTAGGTAAACGAGTGCACAGAGCCCGATAGGTGAGCGGGTGACCGAGCTACCACTGCTGTCCGGCGCAGAAACCCGTTAGGTGAACTAGTGACCGAGCCACCACTACTGTCCATGCAGAGCCCGGTCGGTGAGCGGGTGACCGAGCTGTCACTACTGTTCAGTGTACAGAGCCCGTTAGGTGAAACGAGTGACCGAGCTCCACTACTGTCCGGCGCAGAAAGTCCGTTAGGTGAGCGGGTGACCGAGTTCCCACTACTGTCCGGTGCAGAGAGTCTGTTAGGTGAGCAAGCGACCGAGCTACCACTACTGTCCATCAAACAGAACCGTTAGGTGCGCAAGTAATCTAGGTACCACTACTGACCAGACATGCACTACCGGGCTCACACCACTTTCCAGTGAAAAGAGCAAACGAAGTGACGAGTCACCGAACTAGTGATCCAGTGCACTATCACTGTTTCGAATTGCATACCTTATAAACTGACATTTCGGCTTTCTTTTCGGGTAGGGGATATCGTAAAAATTATCTGTACCAGACTGTATGTACATTGTACAGCCAGAGGGAATGCTTTCAAGGTTGAGAGAATCATGAGCTGATTTTTATATAAAATTCGTGTTTGCCCTATTGCTTGTACCGATCATGTTTCGTTTCGTTTCATGTTATTCCAATAAATATTCATTCAAATTCAAATAAAATGGCCATGGACCACAAGAAACGCGGAGGCGAAGCCGAGGCTGTTTCTTGTTCAGATCTATATAGCCACGAATGGGATACACCAGAGCCGGCAAACCAGAAAAGACTGACCCAAACCAGTATTATACTCTGAAGCCCGTATTCGAAAACCCGGCCAGATAGTATTCATTTCTTTCAAAACCAAAGCGGAAGAGTTTTGACTAGCTTCACCGAATGCAACTAAATTATTATCAGATTCCTTATATTCATACAATCTTGCCGTCCAAAACGTAACTAAATTTGTTTTTTATGGATTCGTCAACGCGTGGTCAGTTTAAGTCAAGCTTGGTCTTGAGAAACTCCATATTTTTCGTAGGGTGTCATCCTGAATTTTAATTTTTTTTAAAACGTTCTGGTCAGAAAATTTTTCAAACGGTTCTGAAGTATAGGAAAACGTAAGGAGTACTTAAGAATACTTAAGCATTCATAAGGAAAGATTACGTACTGTACTGTAACCATGGATATGTGTTTATTAGTAAATAAGTATGTAAGTAAAATTCTGAAAGAATTAGCCGAATAAAACGATCACAAAGTACGGCTGTGTATTTTTGCCGTCCAACCCGTAAGACGTAAGTGGTCATAGGAAGCAAGTAAAAGAATCGTAGAGCAGTCAGATATTTGAATCCGTCCAAGAGGGTAGTGCCGAGCGCGGAGCGCGAGGCATACCTTGTAACCATTATTATACAAACGTTGTGTGCGATACTTTACTGTTTGATGTACTCGTACTTGGTTGCATTTTCAAACTGCAAAGTTCTTTGGCAGTGTACGAAACGTGGCAGCTTTGTGTCAAGGTACACCATAGCATCGCTAACCGTATCGTGATAAGTTGTGGACCTCTTTTTGCTCATTGGCGTACCCCATTGTATCCTTACAGTATTCTTTACGTATCCCTCAGGTATCCCATTATGAATTATAAGATATCCTACGAAAACCTAGAAAAACCTACGAATACTTGACGGAAGTGACCCAGTACATGGTACAAATTCGTGTACGTGCATGAAAACTTTAACGTTTTTTGTTTAATTTTTTTGAGTTTTCTTTCAGCCATAACTAACGAACCGGATTTTGCACGCATAAGCGGTTTGTTCGGGAATGCGCGACAGTTGATTTTTGCATGCTCGTACACCAATTTGGTACCATGTGCCACTCCCTTAAAAAAATACCGTGTCACTCCCTTAAACAAATTAACGGGATACATGAAGCATACACGAAGGATGTTGTAGAATACGCAGGTTAAAAAGAGTGACAGCATTAGCAATATTCGCAATACGTGCAGAATGCAGAATACTACGTTATGTTTGCATGCGTACCACACTATCCTCCACCTACCTTCAAATATCCTGCGGAATACAGCTTTGGTAGTTACGAATAACTGTTACCATCGTATCCCAAGGCATATGTTTGCCGTATCCTCAATGTATCCGTCAAGTATTCCGATAAGTATCCGTCAAGTATTCCGGTAATTATCCGTCAAATATCCGGGGCATCTCTCAAGTATCCCGATAATATTCTGAGATTTTTCAGTGGAAAGCTTTCGGAATGTGTAATGGAGACTGGAGAGATACGGTGGGATACGGCAGTGGTTAAAAAAAGCATAAAATTTAGAAGATACATGGAGCATACGTAGAGGATACTGTGGATACAAATCAAAGCACATGCCTGGAAAAATTAAACGTTTACTAACCATGTCCTGTATTACGCGACGCATAGGCAGTTATATACCTTCCTGCTTCCGGATATCGTAGTCCGGCGGCGTGCAATGCCGTACATGCCCGGTTTCTACCGGTGCGTGTTCGGGCAGGATTTGCGTGCCCGTCGACATCCTAGCAGCCTTTGACGGTCCCCTCTGGCCGCCACCCGGGGCCACCAGGTCCCACTGCCGTGTCCTATCCGTTCCGTCCCTCCTGGAAAGCCTCCTCCTGACCACGTACAACTACTGGATGTGGCGCCACCACCGTGGGTTTATCCGTGGGTTCCCCCGGAGCTTTTATAATGCCCGCTGCACGGGTACCGACCACGTGACGTCTAACCCGAATCGGTGGTGATCAGCGAGTGCGCCAGGAGTCCCGGCCGCGCTACATCCGGGATAATACATCCACTCGCGGCCGGTATTGAGAACTGCGCTGTCCGTCGTGATGTCTATCGTTCGGCGCCAGTACAGGGGAACATGCAACGGCCGCCCAGCTGTTTGTTATTCGGCATCGTCTCCGCCGCGAGCAAAGTGTCCTTACGTGGCGGATGCTGCCGGAAACATTTTATTGTTGCTGCTCCTAATGTTTTTATTTGGAGTATGCAAAATGTACAGGCGTTTTGATGTGGCGCACGCTCACAGATGGCGCCATGTACGCACGGTAGTTTGCATCGCATTCGCAACCGGCAACAGTCCAGTCAGTGCACTCCGGAATATACGTAGTTAGTATTGTAGTAGGCAATTCCAAAATGTTTGAATGTTTGTCCTTCGTAATTTTTTTTAACTGACGATTAATTAGTAGCTGGAATCAAAATGTCAAGACAGTAAAATGCCGCAGGGTTAGTTTGTGCTGAAGCTTTTCAAAACCGAGAATTCAAAACCGACTGAAAATCATACAGACTTCGACGCTGGAAAAGGTCACGACCGCCCGGGGTGGCAGCGTGATGCGGTTTTGTACTGAAAACAATTTCGGTCGCATGTAGACTTGATTAAGAACTGCGATGCAGGAGCTGCTCGGGTAGGTAAAAACGTTATATGCGAGTACATATCGCCAGTTGTACACTGCACCAATTCGCAAGGTGCATTGCATGTACGAGCGCGAACGCTTTTTTAATGCGAATCAAGATACAAAGTGCATGAAATGGTACGAAATTGATCTTATACCAGATAGCGGCCACATTCATTCCTGTAATTGCAGTATAATCGCGGAACATGGGTAAAGCTGGATTAGTTCTTGGCCATTAACGTTGCCGTTGTTGTTGACTGTTGATTCCGCTAATACATAATCTGCCCACAATGTACCCCAGTAGCATATTATTTTTTTGCTGCAGCGCCGGACTAATTTGCCATAAAAATATAATCGCGGCCAGCTCGGTGAAGACGTCGGCCTTGGTCCGCCAACTTATCGCCGCTGAAGACGTCCACGTGCCGCCCAACGCCGACCAGCCCGGTCAGCCCGTGCTCGTCGAAGTCAGTCTCCAAGTTACCGGTGTACAACATGATGTAGGTACAGGTGCAGTGACGCTGACACTGCGCTTAAGCGCACAAATTTGCTTGTATTTGAAACTCCCACGTTCTTCGATTTTTATATTCAACGTATTCGATTTCAGTATATTGTGAATCGATAGTTACCTGTAATAACAGATTGTGTATATTTACCCCCATACTTTTCATCGAGCACGCGTTCACTTAACATAAAAATACTGTGGACAGCGTCACTCATCACGTGTTCGTGGCGCCTGGCAGATGTGTGCTAATCAGCTTCATCTTTTATTAGCTACATTATCAATAGATTCATATATCCTTACGTCCTTATTTTTTGGAAATTATCTCCTAAAGCAAGATTAATTTTTTCAATAAGTTGATAATTTTATAAAATAGAGCATCGCACAAACGTTCCTACCTTTATCTTCAAAAAAGTGTTAAGTTTTGGAGAAGGTTTACCTCTGATTTTTTGAGCCTCCAGAGTTTCGAAATTTTAAAAATATCTGGAAACCTGAGTGCCTCAAGATCTCACGGTCTAAATTGTCTAATTTATATGTGATTTCTAAATACCTAAAAGCTGGCCCGCGGCCCGTATACCGCATTCATTCACGTAGCGGCTCTTTGATACTGGTGGTAGCTTGGGCATTCACCAACCTTGAAACCTAATTAATATGTGTTTAATTTATTTTAATAAATACTGAATAGCTTGACTGCATGGCTGAAAATCTTACAATTAATAGCTAAAGATGCAGCCTGCGACGTCACCTTGGACAACCGTTGATTGTTTCCCACAGGTTTCCATTAATTCTGCGCTGAAATACCGGCTGAATGGCTTTTTATGGGCATCCTGTAAATGATCTCACTCCATCCATTTTATCACCGTTTAAATATTATCTGTCGTGCCAAAAAATTCAAGTTCTCAGTTCGTTAGATCGGCAATATAAAGTTACATCAAAAACATGAAAACAAACCGTGAAAAAAGCAAACAAGAAGAAAATTACGGAGGCTTTCACAGTTGTTATGAAACTGGTCCAATTTAACCGGAAAGGTAGATAACTGTCCGCATTTCTACATGTTTAAAATATTTTCGTAGCTAGCCTCGCTGGGGTTTTATATTAGAAATATTTCTCAAAATCTTTTTTATTGCTCTACGAAGTATATTTTGCGTTTCTTTCATTCTTCCATACCTCAAACACAACTGGTGGCGCCCTAGCGCGACCGATACTTGTAGTTACATTACATATGTTCTGTTATGGTTATATATTTGCATCTGCCTGCGTTCGGTGTACACTAATTTATGTGTACAAGTACACCGAGCACGCTTCTGTCTGATCAGCTATGTATCTGTGACTCCGTAGCGTCCGGAGTCGGATCTGGTCATAGTGCTGGGATTTCTGGACCTGAACTGGAGGGACAGCCGGCTGACGTGGGAACCTCAGGAGCACCACAATATTACTGCCGTACACCTCCCCGCCGACCGCGTCTGGCTGCCGGATATTACGCTGTATAACAGGTTAGAATTAGCGGACTGCAGTCTATCTTCTGACTGTACATACGGACGATACGATCAACTGTTTTCTCTGGGCCTTTTCTCTGCGTCTAGTGCATTCATTAACAGCTACGATACGCGCAGTCGAGCTGTGTTCCCCGGCGAAAGACAGCTGGTGTCGGTGCGTTCGGACGGCACTGTCATGTGGATCCCGCGCGTGACCTTCCCGTTGAGCTGTAATAGCACGCGGAATGCAGCCGGTGATGAAGTGCATTGTGCTATCAAACTAGGTACAGTATATGCATCGGCAGTTGAACTGCGGATTGGCCGTTTGTTAAAAATAAATGATAATGATTTAATTGGTTACGATGTAGCTTCGTGGACGTACGACGCTTCGCAGATCGACCTTCGGACGTGGGGCGACATAACTCACAGACACGGTAGTGTGTCTGTATATTATAGAATATGAGTGAAGCTGTATTGCACAACAGCGCATGTTGACTATTGCAGACTACTCAAATCTGTATTCCTCCCGTGATTCCAGCTACCGTATAATCGACAGCACGGCAGTCCGCAACGAGGTCTCCTACTCTTGCTGCCCACAAGCCTACCCGTCCATCGACATAACCTTTACGGCAAGAAGTGCAGCAGTATCGCCACTGCGACTCGCTTGGGCTGCTTTCATACTCAACTCGCTGCTAATAATAATACGGTAATACCACTTAAATACAAGTAATAATGCGGTTGGATGTGCACCGGTACTTTGTTCTGCTACTATACATGTATAATAATGCCGCTGGCAAATTCTGTATAATAAAATTAATGAGAGTCCTGTGCACCGAATGTTGGCCTTGTAATGCAGTGCAGGCGTTTAACTGCAGATAACGCTCAGTGCCACTATCGTCAGGGAATCGTCAGAAACGTTTTATCATTCAACTTTTATGCAAGATTTGCGATAAGAGCGATGTTAGTCTACAGGCCAAACCCTACACGACAAAACAGTAAAACCAGCACGTTGAAAAGTAAGTATAAAATTTAAAGAAGACCGGTTTGTAAAGAGGAATTTGGTACATTTGTCTGCATGGAAAAATTTTGGAATCTTATTGTAATAATATCTCCCGAACACCAATAGTGTATACAAAATTCGGCTACACAATGTATCGTAAACAACGTAAAAAAGTGTAGAGGAGGATGTTTTGGTGCGTCGACCCGAGCTTAGCGCCATGTAGCGCTTTCGTAATGAATCACATGCGGTGTTCGTAAATCCAAGCCTTCAATAAAGTTCTACAGTAATCTTCTTCGCTATCTTCGCCTGTCGGCCTCGGTCACGCTGAGCTCCTTCCTGTGCGCACGATACCGTTCCAATACGGTTATAATCGGCCGCCGGCCGTTCATAAAAATTTTAAGGTCTGATCTCTGTACAGTGCAAATGTCTATGTCATATATATATATATATATATAAGAGGGGATATCAGTGGCTCACCTTGATGATCCCTGTACTTGCTGGCGTCATCCGGCTGGAGCACGCCGTTGTGGCTATACATGGTGCTTACGTACCGCGCCTGATTTAGCCATATGTCTGCCGTAACGTCACACTCCAGGCGGGTGACGACAGCAAAACAGGGGATTATCAAGGTGCGTTACTGACATCCCCTCGTATATATATATGCCCGTGGTTATATTAAAATATTTATGGTGCGTTTGTACCTTATGATAAAATTAATAGCAGAATACCACGGGGTGTCGCATTCTGAAGGTGTGTGTTAAATTGTTATTGCCGGCGGTTAAAGTACATTTGTGTAGTGCTAATAATTTTATTATTGTAATGGCGTCGCATTAATTTCAATGCGGACATGGGACTTCTGTCTCCGGAATTGCAGTTGTTGGTGGTTCTAAAGAGCTTTCTGAAAAAAATGAATATGGAAGCGGAAATAATGCCTTGGTTGGTGGATAACTGAACTCCAGTACGCATATTGCATCAGGTATGTTACTGTTTAGCGTAATTCGAATTGCTTGTACAATCTTAAAATATAAATGGATTTGTATGTATAAGAGTAAGTGTGATCCTTGTTAGAAAATAATAATATTATGTGGAGAATATACTATAAGGTACGGGAACGGAAACCGGAAGCATCGCACACTGGTGTCGGTTCTGTTATGTTCTGTTGTTCACCGTTATACAAGCAGAACTGCTTTAATGGCACTAGATACATTCTTTGCACCTACCTTAACCATTTTTAATGATTAAATTATTAACCAATCAAGCCCCAAGAAGTGCTTTACTTCGTAATAACTTAAATATTCGTAATAACTTAAGTATTCGCATATTAACCGTCCCATGGGTATAGATTATTATGCGGCGCGTAGGCCTTATTGTACAACGTGACACCGGTTTCTCCCCTTACGCCACAAGTTCTCCACAAATTTAACTCTAATTTATTTTAACTGAAATCGCATCTGAGCGGGTAGCCCATTTCCGGATACGGTGACAGTCTAGCATGGGATAAAAAAATTATCATCATACGAGAAATTCTTACGGAGTACACTCGCACACTATGAGCAGCTAAAAAAAACCTGGACAGCGGTCATTTAATTAAAACATCAGGCCGTGTACAATGTATTTTCAAAACAGCAAAGGGAATCCATGACAAGGAGCCTTATCGTTTCCGGCAGGTCAGTCGCGAGAAACGCTCGTAGCGGCAACTTACAACTTAATTATGTAAGGTACGTAATTATAGGCGCTACCGTTGAGAGAAGATATGCGGGCGTTGTGACAGTGTCGGCATGTGCGGATGGAGGAGCGTGATCGTCTTCCTTTCTACTCCCGGATATATAACCGATAGCTGCTACTGGTATATATCCGGGATAATAACAACCAGTCGCGGCCGGTGTTGCAAATCACTTTACAATAAACATTCAAATGACTTTACCTGCATTCCTCTCTTGCAACAAACGATAATATCATAGGTTAGAAATATGTACGTTGTTCACTGGTTTGGAACTGTGGAAGCACAGGGATGCAGTATGTTGTCGACCGGCCGAATTATGGCGAGCTCATCCGGCGGCTGCAAAAACTTGCAAGTTGTAAAAACATCGGCAGCGACGCTGTAGTGTTACCTATCCTAAAAGGTACAGCGGTGCCGATTCCTTATTATGCGATCAATATTATGCAGACTTGATTGAAAACATCGATGCAGGAGCCACGTACAAAGGTAATATGGGAGTGTCGCCAGTGCAGGGCAGTGTATTGTACATACTGCACCAGTTCGCTAAGTACAGTACATTACACTACATGTAAGAGCGCGAGCGCTACTTACTCTGTATCAATCAAGATAAAGAAAATTCAAATGGTGCGAAATCGATCTAATAACAGATTGCTGTCACGTTCATTCCTGTTATTTTGTAGTATAAACGCCGAGCCTGTGTAAAATTGGATTAATTCTTGGCCGTTAACGCTCCCGTGCTTGTTGACTGTTGATTCCGCTGATAAGTTGCCGTGCACGATGTATGTTAATAGTCTGATATTTCTGTGCTGCAGTGCCGGACTAATTGGACATCATAACAATATCATCGCGGCCAGCTCGGTGAAGACCTCGGCCTTGGTCCGGCAACTCCTCGCCGCTGAAGACGTCCACGCGCCGCCCAACGCCGACCAGCCGCGCGAACCGGTGGTCGTCGACGTTAGCCTACAGGCTACCGGGATACAACATGATGTAGGTACAGTAACGGCATACGTAACGGTAAACAAGGTTTCCTGGTATGCGGCTCTCATGGTACTTCCATTTTAACTCCAACGTATTTCTCAAAAGGATGTTCAACCGATAACTAATTAAAATAATACAAAGAGCCTTCCAAAAGTAACTTTCCCTATTTTATATCTCTCTCCACAGATGCATTCAGCTCTTCATACAGATATTTTTATGAACGTCATCCATCGTTTAGTCAAAGTAAAATATTATCTAGGCTAATTGGGACTGCATTACTAAATACACTAAAACTTTAGCTTTCGCTCACTCTCAATCACAGTTTTGTAAATAATGTCCTTCTAAAGCTGAATGATTTGTATACACACACGATTAAATTCATTGTTGTGAAAACCGTTTGCCGCGCAACATCCGGTTCATAGCACTTTTCCATAATTTTCAAATGAATTTTAAAATTTTTGAATTCATTTTAAAGTCGGAAAAAAATGCTATGGATCTGGTATTGGTTCATTTTCGACTTTTTGGTCATGTGTCTTCTGCAGCAAAGTTTCAAGAAGATCGGATAATAACCATAGAAGTACTTGTGGTACACAACAATTCATTAATTAAATTTTTCGTCCATGTTCTGCGCGCAAAACGTTTTTTTCAGAACAATGTATACAAATCATTTAGCTTTTGAAGGACATCAAGTATCATTACAAAATTGATTCGGAGTGCCCGAAAGCGAAAGGTTTTGTGTATGTATCCAATTTTTGACACCATGTACATTTTGATACGGGCTATTTCCCTTTAGTAGTGGAATTTGAAATTTCATTGTGTTCGGTTAAAATGAATTTTCTATATACCTGTCATTTTCCCGCTTGTAATGAATTATACCACAAGCCTTCACGGTGTACTTGTCAAGTTGTTCCGTCTCGTCTGCTACGTGGCCATAGCGTCGGGAGTCGGATTTGGTAATCTTCCTCGGATTTCTGGATCTGAGCTGGACGAACAGCCGGCTGACATGGGACCCGCTGCAGCACCACAACATCACCGCCGTACGCCTTCCGGCCGACCGTGTCTGGCTGCCCGACATCACGCTGTATAACAGGTTATTATTGATTAGTAGCGGACGGGCGTCCGTCTTCTGACTGTAGGTTCATAGATACGATCAATGGCAATGCCGGGCGCATGTCTCCTCTGTTTTCTTTTCGTCTAGTGCGTTCATTAACAGCTACGATACGCGCAGTCGCGCTGTGTTCCCCGAAGAAAAACAGTTGGTCTCGGTGCGTTCGGACGGCGCTGTCACGTGGATACCGCGCGTGACCTTCCCGTTGAGCTGTAATAGCACGCGGAATACAGCCGGTGATGAAGTGCATTGTGTTATCAAACTAGGTACAAGTACAGTATATAAGGGGCAAAACTAGGCACCTTCCACCGCTCCCCTGTACTGCTGCGTCACCCGCCTGGAGTTTGACGTTGCGGCAATACATTTGGCTAAATCTGGCGCGGTACATAAGCGCCATGTTCAGCCCCAACGTCAAACTCCAGTCGGGTGATGGCAGCAGTACAGGGGAGCGGTGGAAGATGCTTGGTTTTGCCCCATATATTCATCAGCAGATTAAGGGAAATCACCCGGTACATGGTGTCAAAAACGGGATACATACACTAAAACGTTTTCTTTCGCGCACTCCGAATAACGTTTTGTAAGTAATACTTTATGTCATTCTAAAGCTAAATGATTTGTATATCGAAATCCAACGAGGAAATGCGGCATCGATCTTGGGGGCAGCGCCGATGGGAGCGAATTCAGATCAAATTTTCTCTGTGATTAGGCCGCATCTATCGATTGATGCTTATTGAGTGATTGATTATTGTGAGAATGTGTAGCGTTTCCCTTACTAACTAATAATAAAAATTTGCAAGAAATATTTGTATACATTGTTCTGTGTTTATAACCTTTAATAAGTATCATGGTACGAGTACAAACTATGCACCACAACAAAACGGCGTTTACAAAAGAAACACTTCCTCTATGCTATCCTGATCGGGGATCGTACCCATTACACAAATCGCGTTTCCCCGTTGTATTTGCATAGATATTCACTGTTTAAAGAACTCTTTCGCCCGCTTTTGTCCAGTTGAAGTCGCTATACCGTTTCCAACCGTTTCTACCAGCTTTTTAGTACCGTCTCCAAAAGGTCCGTAAATTTTGAAGGCTGCAGCAACGAAATCGTATCTTGTTTGCATCCATTGTTCTGAAAACCGTTTGTGCGCGCAACATCCGGTTGCCGAGATATGGCATACTAAACTGGCGAAAAGTTCAAATGCATTGCTGTGTACCAAAAGTCTGGTTATTTTACGATTAGAACAAGACTAGCGACTGTACAGGCAACCCTCGCTCAGGGGTGTTTTTGCGCCAAAAAATCGGTATCGAGATTCAGCGAGGAAATGCAGTTTCTGTTCTCGTACATTCAGTGACATGGTTGAGCGGGAAGATGTGTATTTTGCCTTTAAATTAGCTGAACGTGAATGATGTCGCGGATTTTTGTTATTGTTACTTGTATAATACGCAATATGGTTGAAATTTTATGTATTATGTGAACACTAAAGTGACTGAACAGAAAATTTTAGAACAATGTATACAAATCATTTAGCTTTAGAATGACATAAAGTATTACAAAAAAGTGATTCGGAGTGCGCGAAAGCGAAAGTTTTAGTGTATATGTATCCCATTTTTGACGCTACGCACAAGGCCATTTTCCTTAAGGGATTTGGCACCCCTGGCGGTACATGGCGCTGAATGTGGATTTGGCGGTACATGGCGCTAAATTCGTGCACATCCACGGGAACTTTCGCTATCGCGCACACCCAGACAATTTTTTGCATTGCTTTGTGGTATTTTGTAGCCAAAGGATTTGTACACCTAAGCGTAATATCCAATCGCAAGCGCAACGTCCGGTTGGGGAGTTATCGGTAAAATAAAATACCAAAAGTTTAGCCGCACGAACGTGTACTAAAAGGTCTCTCTATAAACCGATTCTCTTCAAATTCTGCACAAAAACGCACATATATATGAAGATTGTTTTACATCCAACCAGAATTGCACCATTTTTTCAAATTTTAAAACGAATTAAAGAAGCTTTGAAATTCATATTGAAATTTAAAAAAAGTTGTTCAACTTTGGTTTGCTGTAAAGCGATCTTTATACTAATGTGCATTTGCATGCAAAATTTGGGAGGATCGTTTTATAATGAGGCTTTTAATGTATTTAAACTTTTCGGAATTTTGATTCACTTATAACTTTCCAACCGGATGTGCGAAAGTCTCAATATGGATCGATCTCTTTAAATTATGCACGAAAACTCACGTTAGCATTAAGATAGGTTTTACACCGAATCCGGTGTCCACCATATTTTTAAAATTTAGAAATGAATTTCAAAAATTTTGCAAATTATTTTAAAATTTGTAAGAAGATCGCTTCGGTGTAAAAGCGATCCTCATGCAAGTGCGCGTTTTTACACAAAATTTCAAGAAAATCGGTTGATAATGAGACTGGTACGCCGCCGTGCGTTTAAACTTTTTGGAACTTCCTTGCGGCCCTTACTGTGCATTGGTGCAACCGGATGTTGCGCGCACAAACGGCTTTCACGCCCATATATGTATACAAATTACCTGGCTACAGAATGCCAGAAAACAGTGCAGAAAAGTGTTTGGGAGCGTGCGAAACTGAAAGCTTTTGCCACCATAAAAGAACTGGGGAAGAGATTACGTTCCCATTCAGGAGAAGCCCGATCGCACGAATTTCTTCGACAACGTCTGTCTATAGAGATACAACATGGTAACGCGGTTTCTGTTTTGGGCACGGTGGAGAAAGCGGATATGTTTACCGAGCTGTTGTTTTTGTAACTGTTTCCTGAACACGTGTTTAAGTGATGGTTTGAAATAAAATCGCTATCACTAAAGCTTTTGTGTGCGTAAACAAATTTGGTGGCACGCACTGGGGGACTTTCCTCAAATCGCTTGTGGCGAATAAATGATAATAATTTGATTGGGCTTGTTGTAGCTTCGTGGATGTATGACGGTTGGCTGGTGGATTTTCAGGCGTCATCGGGCGACATAATTCACAGAACCGGTAGTGTATGTGTAGTAACCTCTACATAATATATCCATGGTGAACCAAGCTGTATTATACAGCGGCGTATTTTGACCACTGCAGACTATGCATATTCCCAGCGCGGTTCCCGCTACCGTATAGTCGACAGCAAGGTACGCCGCAACGTCGTCTTCTACCCCTGCTGCATAGAGCCCTACCCGTCCATCGACATGACCTTTACAGCACGAAGTGCAGCAGCATCGCCACTAAGGCTCGCTTAGGCCGCTCTCATACTCAATTCCCTGCTAATAAAATGCGCTAGACTGTGGACTATGCACCGTTAATTCGTCGGGCCAGCAACGGTAATGCCGCGGCCCGCCGGCATCTGTACATTACTCCTACAAATGAATACATACCAGTGCTAGCCGCTCTGCACGGAATAATCATTCTTTACTCAGTTTGCTGCTAATAATAGTAATAATTCGCTAGTGCGGTGGGTTGTGCTAAACTGTTAATTATTTATTGCTGTTGCTGTCTGTTAGTGTTCGGCCTGTGTTACGCCGCGCCCCTTCCAGTGTATACCATCCGGTTCCAATATTTTATTGCAGTCGGCCGTCGCCCGTTTATTAATGTCCGAAATGGCGCCAATTCCGTTGTTGTTACGCTGTATAAGAGCATACGTGCTTGCCTCTACCGCACAGATGTGTAATAAAGAACATTATTTTCTTATGCACACAACACGGAAGCGGTTGGTGGTGTACATAAGAGCATAGATTTAATGTCCTGCGTCTGACGGCCGTATAATAATCATACGCACAATGTAACTGGTAGGTTTTATGTTTTCCACGATATTACTGCATTCGTAATCTCAAAGGAAGCAAAAACTATCAAGCTCCTAACTTTATTTAACTTTCCTGGCCTCTTAAACAGTAATCATAGATTAATTCTGATAAATAACTAGTGTACACGGTACATATAGTTACAAGTTAATAACACGTACAAAATTAAATACATTTTGGTTTTTCTGGATACCGTACATATATTATAGGTTTTTATATGTAGCTGCCAGGTGAAGTTGTCCAGCAGCGTTTGCGAGAGTCTGACTCAATCAAGGGCAGCGCCCAGGGTCCGCTGTCCCTGATTGAGCTTCACGTGTGAGCCAGGACAATCAAAAACACACTTCCGGTCCGGCGAAAGTCAAATAGTGGCATGGGCAGCTGATCCTATGCTGGTAGGTAACTGGCTCCTCTAATACGTGGGTTTACCAATATAGAAAGACAGTCCGTGCTGTATCTTTATTGATGGTTCATGATGACTGTACGCGGATGGTACAAGCACACAGACGATGAGATGCCTCTTTGTAGATGACATGCCGATGGTACAACATTGTATAGCTTATATAGGTACAGAGAGGAGGAAGTGGACGTAAATACCTTGCAAGTATTCCGGGTCGCATAGACGTTGGTCATAGACCAATATGCTTAGATCGTGAGCGTGTGACCACAACAAGATCTCATCATGTTCTGCACAAGGCACTCCCCTGGTACAGAACGACATGTGGGGAGAAGCGGTGTAACCGGTGTTGACCGGAGCCGTCGGATCGGACCGTCCAGCGGTCACCTTTCTTAATAGCAGCGCTGTACATAAAACGCTGTCTAGCCACACCGTAAACCACCCACTGCTGGCATCAGCAGTAGCCGGAAACGGTGGAACACGTCTAGTTTGCCCCTATATAGAATAACCATAATGCCGCTGGTATAGTTTTACTGTACAGGTAAGACATGAAGGTGCTAGCCTTGCACAAAATGTTGACCTTGTAATGCACCGCATGAGATTGAAATGCCGATAGGGTTCACGCCGTTCAGTATCGCCATCGTAGGAAAGCCGGCAGAAAAGGTCTATGCAAGATTTTGCGATAGAAGGACAGTAATACCAGTGTGTTCAAAAGTACTGCTATACAAATTACAGAAAACGCTTCGTCAAGATAATTTTGGCCTTTTTTGCATTGAAATTTTCGGAAGATTATTTTTTCGAAAACTCCCGAACCGGCTGTTACGTGCATCCAGAATTACAAATCATTCGGCTATAAAACGATGTGTCAAAAGCGATGCAAAATTGGGGAGAAAGTTCTCGTGCTCGCTTTCCGAACTTTGTACCTTGTACCACTTTCGTAACGAATCACCTGTTCATACAGATTTAATCATCTTTGCTCGCTGTCGGCCTCGGTCGCGCTGCGCAGTGTATCATGCCGCTCGGCCGCCGGCCGTCAAAAATTATTAATTCCAATTTGCACTTTTAAGCGCGCCCTTTCGTTTGCTGTATAAGTGCTCATCAGTCTTGGTACCGTGATTTATCATTACAATTTACACATACATACACAACGTCGCATATGTAGGGAAAGCGGCGACGTTAATTTTTCGAACAGAAACCGCTGGTTATCTACAGATACAGTACTCGTGCTTACGACAAGAGGAGAACAGCGCCGACTGAAATGCTGGATAAAGGCCAGGCATTTATTTCTGGTCCCGCAGCTGACAACACCCCAATAAAACAGATGCGGACCCGGCAGCTGGGCCTGACTGAAGACCATTAATTTTTATGTCGATAAAAGCCAAAACTGCCAAAGATTACCGGCTGATTTGCGGCAGCTACTGCTGTTTCCGTCTCGTGGTCAGCTTGCAAGATACCACGTTACTTCTATGATTATTCGGGTAAACCGTCCGTAATTTGTTGATGTCTGGGGGCGTCAGCGTCGTCCTTCCTGCTGTCGATGGCCAACAACACCGGCCGCTGGTCCGCCGGTGTCCGCTTTCCGGCGGTGTTCGGGGAGGATGCGACGCATGCCGGGCGACACCACGGCTGCCTCCGACACCCCGGATCGGAAAATCTTGCAACGGCTTCCGGCAGACATTCTCGTCAACATGTTCGACTACTGGATATGACGCCCTGACGACCGCATTGTCGCAGGTCGCTAGAACGCTTCCTAGGGCTGTAACAATGCGGTTGTACGGGCCGGGCCTGTACCGTCCCTGTCGCTTTACCTCTTGGCTTGGTACACGCGCCTGCCGATATCCTCTTATGTTAAAAGGTTCGTTTATACCGTACGTTTAAAATGAATAATACGTTTATGGAATATTACTAGTGATAATTAAACTGTTAGTAATGCTTGGAATTAAACATTTTACTTAATTCAATTAAAATTATGGCAGTTTTAATTATGCTGGAGCAGAATTAAAATTGCGTAATTTTAATTAAGCTTGAGCATAATTAAAATGGGTCATTTTTAATTATACTGAAGCTTAATTATACCTGGATAATTTTGCTTAAGCAAAATTAATTAAGCTTAAGTAAAATTGCCTGAATTTTTATTGATGAAACAGTTGGGTGCTGTTTTGAATGCCTCAGATTTATAACTTCAACTTGCAATCACTACTATTCAGTAAGGCGTATAAGACATGCAATTTTCTTAGAAAAATAATATTATATTACCAGCCACCAGGTGTCGCATTCTGAAATCCAGCACTAGCCAGCGAGTACATTGCTGCATACTACATCCGGGATAGTAATATCAATCGCGGCCGCTATTGTGGACACTCGCCGTCCGTCAGGATATCGCTCGGCTGCTCGGCTCCTGGTTGCTGAGCATCGCCCCCGCCATTATACCGGCATTTTGTTCAAAAGCGCTACTGAGAACCCGGGAACCCAAAGGATGGTAAGCTACCCGCGCTATAATTGTTTCGACGTTTTTCAAAAGTAATTTGAACCGGTTCAGTTTTTGCCGGTAAAGCAAAGAGCCGTGTTAGCAACTACAACAGTCGCCTATTTCCACGCCACGCCGATGAGCGGACTTTGCTGCAAAATTGTTCGAAACGTAAAAAGTTATTATTATAGTAAAAAATTATTATCCGACAGCCGTAACGACAACCATACTCTATACAGAAAGAAATAAACTTTTGAAAATTTTACGAGGCAAAACCGCATTGCATTGCCACACCGGGCGGTTGGCGGCGGAAAAAAAGCCTTCTTTTTTAGTTTCAAGTTTGAAGTCTTCAGTACAATTTGAGTGACGTTAGTTGGAAAACATACGCCGTCTAATGGTACGCTTCCCGCCCAAGCGATTTAAATTCGCCTATGGTGTGGTTTAGTAGTTGCTTTCTATTTTTCATGTATTTATTATGTACAATTTTTGCGCTTAATTTCTAACGCAGTAACGGAGTGACAAAACAAAATTCAAGTTTTACGCCAAACTGTATGCTCGTGCCACTCGTGACCATTTACGCTCTACATGCACTTGGATAAATATCGAACTATGTAAATTACTATGTATCCATATGAATTAATCCATGCTTGAATATGTACCATAAATTAATCCATGCTTGCTATTCAAATTACGATCCATATAAATTAAATCATGTACGTACATATCGAGCACAGATGCCCATATACAGATACAATATCTACTGTAGTAAATCCATATAAATATCAAGTATGAACTATTTTAGTGCCAAACAACTTCGGATTGAGCAGAAGAAAGATTTAACCAACGCAAATCTATTATCTTAGAAAGTGAGAGTGATTCCTTTTGCTTAAATGGCGGTTCTGACATCTTTATAGGCCACTCCATTCAGCAGTACAGAGTGTGTACGTGCTGCAGCACGTATGGCACGGCTAGCATACATTATAATTATTTTTTAGGGCATGCGTTAATTTTGACTTGTATCCACAGTATCCCACAGGATTCTCTATGTATCCTCTTGTACATCCTTTGAATTTCAGCTTTTTCCAGTTAATGTTTTGTCCTACCGTATCTCTGCAGCATCCTTCAGGCATCCCGAGCGTATTCCACAAGAGAACCCAAGAAAATTATCCGCGTACCTGAAAGACATTCGCCGGATGTTAAGCTGCATGCAGCCGGATACATGAAGAGAAACACATGCCTGGAAAACTTTAACATAATTATACGAAGAAGTCCATATGATCTATGCTTGGGCAAGTGGTCGTGGTCAGCAGTGCGAGCAAGCAGCGCTTACCGACGGCGGGCGGGGGCGCGGAGGGACTGCACGCAGCCTCGGGGTCGCATGGTCACATTTGGAGTCTCCAAACGTGACTATACGAACCTAAGCCTCCGGCAGCGAGATATACATGCGCTCAATAAAAGGCCACGCACACTGCGTACACGGCGCGCCGACCGTGCCTGCGACATTCCAGCACTATCCCCGGGCTGCACCTCCCAAACGCTGTACGGCAACATGCCGTACACATAATACAAGATCATTAATTAAAGTTTTCCTAACCGGGATATTAGCAACTTCGGCTAGCGGCATTTAAATTTACTATGTTCAAGTATTATGTTTTCTGGCAGAATGCATTCGGTACGTGCCTGTTCACAGCGACTGCAGCAAGCGCCGGAAATAAGTGATAAGAACTAAATCAGATCGCTTCTCGCATGAGTTGAAAGTAAATTTCACGCAATATAAGGCTCAGGTTCATCTTGATAGAATAATACTTCTACCGATGGAGCAATGTACTTGTGGCGTACGGTGAAAGCCGGTCGGAAATCAAAACGAGAAATCGCCACGTTACTTCCTTATTGGTAAGTCCTTTTTGTGCCGTTTCTCTAGCTTCCTGCCAACATATAAAAATAGAAACATTACGAATCGTCGGTACGGAGATGAGAAATATAACTAATAATCCTTAGTTTAGCCCATAGGGATGATTGCGCATGCGTGCCTATGGGTAGTACCTAACTACCTGGACTCTCTAAGTTGTTAGTCTACGGGTAGTTCATGTGCGACCAACAGCACAACACTGGGCCAGGTCAATTGCATCTGGGTAACCACTGCGTGTCGGGTAACGGAGAAACGCGTAAAAATCTGTCCATGACTCAGCGAAAAATTTATCGTCCAATCGTAAGTCGAGTACGCTTCCGTGGCAAGAAAGAATTGAACAACTGAAAAACTGAAGTGGAACCGAAAATTTTATTTTTGATGCTTTAATGTGGTAATACGTCAAAAAGTTATTTCTGAGTTTACGAGTGTGAATCTGGGTCGCTGGATGCACTTTTGATTCAAACAAACAAAATTTTGTTCATCTTTGCAGGAGAGTACGAGTTACTCGTAGTTTGGGTAACGGTTGCGCTTCGATTTCGAAGCGCAACGGTTACACGCACGGGTAAGCTGAAAACCCATCCCAGAATTCTGGTTTACCAATCAAATCGTTTACCTGCTTACGCGCCCTGACGTCATGATTTTTTACCCGACTGCCGCTTGCGCGTCGCGTAAGACTTACACAGAGCAATTGACCTAGCCCACTAGACCTCTACAATTCTATCTACTCGTACAATACTACTCACAAATTGTGATTAGGATACATACAACACCGTGTAATTTATTTACAAGGTGTTGTATGTATCCGTGTACCTATAACCCTTGTGTGTACACACAAGGGCTATAGGTACACGGATACATACAACACCTTGTAAATATGCCCTATATAATAATATAATAATAATTGTGTGTACACACAAGGGCTATAGGTACACGGATACATACAACACCTTGTAAATATGCCCTATATAATAATATAATAATAATTGTGTGTACACACAAGGGCTATAGGTACACGGATACATACAACACCTTGTAAATATGCCCTATATAATAATACAAGTGCTGAAAATATCAAGAGCTATAGGTACACGGATACATACAACACCTTGTAAATATGCCCTATATAATAATACAAGTGCTGAAAATATCAAGATGCATATTAATTTAATATAGGCCAAGCGATTTCCTTATAAAAACACCACAGTCTACAGTATAAGTAAAGCTGAAGTTAACGATGCAAAAACAATATTAAAAGCAACTTTTCTCACTTTTTAGCGTGGTTTATCACAAACTGACCAATTTTCGGTTTATCTGTAAAGTTGAATCTCATGTTAAGCGAGACAGTCAGCTGCTGACAACTGCAATTCAACATACAGCATTTAATTAACGGCAGCGATACCACAGATTTGTCAGTTATAAAAAAACTGTACATAGACAGTTTGCTCCTTCCGGCGAATAGTTGGGTCAACAAAGTACAATTTCTAATTCCGTAGGGCGGAAACCCGGAATTTTTTATCGACACAAAAAGAAACGGGCCACTGTTGTAAAGCCAAAAAAACCGATAACGAAAATTAAAACTAGAGAAGCACGATTACTCATTGCTTTCGTTAATTAGCCGACACTGCGCAGTGGAAGTTGCTAACCTACTCTGTACTGTAATTACATATCGATCCTGTACCAGAATTAGGCGCCTAAAGCACAAAAGCTGTGGGAGAAGGTTGTGCAGCTGACACCAACTCATTCAAGCCGAGGTGATTGGCTCGCTTACATGATGTGAATGTTAAGAAGACGTTATACCATGCCGGGTAACAAAAATTTTATTTTTCCGAATTTACTCAGAATTTGTTTGCAGTTTTGCGAATCTTTTTACACGGTACTCCTGTCATAAATAAACAATGTCGAGGAAACCCTGAGCAGAAAAAACAAACCTCTTTGGAAACTTTCGCTTCCGCGCACTGAATCACTTTATGTCACCCTAAAGCCAGTTAATTTGTAAACATTGTTCTAGAAACCGTTTGCGCTAGGGTTGTTGATACCAGCCACTGAGGAGCGTTAGTGGTATTGGTATTGTGGTATACCAGTTTATACCAGTGGTATACCAGTTAGTACCACTCGTATTATCAATAATACCTGGTATTTTATTTTACGCTGTGGTATTGGCTTTTTGCTAGCGTTTGAATACCATGCTAAGTTACCACAAAGCAAATCCACTTTATTACACATTCTTACCTCCAAACAAATCACTGAGAGAGTAAAAATCAGTCACTGAATCATTAATCTCGTCATCCGTACATTCCTCAAATTCTAGGAGAGCTTCTAACACCGAGTTGAACTGACTCGAAGCGCTTGCATCATCTTGAATTTCCGAATCTGAAACTGTACTGCAGTCATTATTGTTGCTGGAGATTATCTGAATATCTCCATCTTCATCCATCTCGACTACTGTACCCGAACTTTTCTTGTTTGTTTGAAGGTCGACCTTCAGCGATTCTTTTAGAGCTGCGACTCGCTGCGCTTCCCGTTTTGCCATAATATCCTCTTTCTGAAATTTCATTCGCATTGCCACCATTCCCGTAGCTAAATCCAGTTTTAAGTTAGATCGATTGTCATCATGCACGAATCCTAACTGACTCCAAGCGCGCTCCAAACTCGCTGCATGCACGACGACGTGCCAAAGTTCCAAAACCAAGCTGGCTAGCTCTTTGTGCTCATATTGTACGTATTTCCAATAACGTTCCACAGAAGAAAGATTCGATGCAACTTCATCTCCAAATATGCCTTTGTTCTCAATGTAATCCATGAGGGAGCTAATCACCCGCATTCCATCAGCTTCAAATAAGCGGACATACCATCCTTTTGCCCAACGCAGCACAACCCCAAAATTGAAACGCCCAGACGTGCGGAATGGTTTCATTTTGGACGTTGGGTCCAGTATCAAAGCCAAAACAAACAGTGACGGATCATAAAATTTCTGCCAGCGTTTTTCTAGGGTCGACCCTAACACCCCCGCTAAATCATCATCTTCCAGTGCGGTGAACACGTGGTAAATTTTCGCAAACTGAGTGATAACATCCGCTAAAGTGCATCCATCCGTCTCTGTGATTCCTTGAGCGACAGTGACAGGATCCAGTATTTGGACAACATTCTTTAGGCCACTCCAAAATGCTGCATCTTCAATAGTGACTTTAAGTTTTGCAAGTCCTTCGGTCTTGGATCGCTCGTCTGCTAGCCGCGCGACCATGCCCTGTCAAATTTTCATGCTTCACAATACGGAAAACACAATTGTAGGTCGACCTACAAACCTGGAGGGGTAGCTGCGATTTCGCGATCGCGCGGAACATGTTATTATAGCTGTACCATCGAGTGTCGCAAAGTTTGCTTATTGCTGTCGTGCTGCCATTGTATTTCATTTGCTCTTCTCGAAGAACGGCTAATGCTTTCGTGCGCGTGGCTAGTAGCGAAACAATGTCGACCGCTTTCTTGCAAATTGCTGAAAATTTCGGGACAGATGTCAAGACATCTTTCACAATCAGGTTGATTTGGTGGGCGCTGCAAGGCAGAAATATCTTGCTTGGATACTTCTCCTTCATTAACCGCCTCGCTTTCACGTGGGCGGCATCTGAGTCGCACGTCACCGTCCGAGCACAAGCCTTGAATTTTTGCTCCAACATCGTAAAACTGCCTTCGATCTTTTCCATGACATCTTCAGCCCGAGATGATTGAGAAGAAATAATTTCAGTCGAAAGAAAATGGTTCTCCACCCCTTGACTGTTTTTGACAGTAGCCATAATACCTAAAAAGTAGATTTTTGTAGGTCGACCTACACTTCAATTTAAACAACACCAAAATTACTCGTTCACTTAGCATCCCCAAACCACCGTTTTCCACTTACCAAGAACTTTATCATGCTTCGCATTTTTGTAACCGTCCAGCGTCACAGTAACAGACAGTTGCGATGACAAAGCTTTGACTGTGTTGCTTTCAACAGACTTGATGCGCTGTGGGATGATGCGAGTCGATAACACGAATCGACTTGGTGGCTTCACCGCTGGTCGCATAAATTTCCAAAACCGAATAAATCGAGGATCCTCCACGGCTCGAAAGGAGAAGTTCCCCGAGACAAACATATCGGCAAGAAGACGCTCAAAATCCCCCAGCTCGTTTTTCGCCAGTGGCCGATCAAAAAACGCTTCCGTGTTCGCCTGCTTTTTTGCAGCGCTTCCACCTGGAACCGCAGACGACAGCAATGGCACAACGTGTGCTCCTTCGTTTGTTTTTGAGTCGACCCAAACAGAAACTTCCTTGCGGTATGCATCCTTAGCTGACTGTGGAATGAATTCACACTTATAAAAATGGTTTTCCAGATGCACTTTTTCGCCGCGCAGGGCCTTCGGAGACGGCAGATTAGCAGCGCACTCTTTGCAAATCGCCTCCCAAAAATTAGAATGAGCAACCTGTTTGGTGCCACGGTCGAAATACCGCCAGATGGGTAAACGACCTGTTCGCATACGCTTTGCCCCTACAAAACGTTCAAGTAAATCAAACACCTCCTCTAATGAAATAGTAACAGAATGCGGGTCGACCCGCAAATAGCAAAAGAAACTCACCTGAGTCTGACTATCTTCAGTGGGTGCAGGATCCTTGCCTGAACTGGCCGAATTACTTGTTGGATTCATGATACGAGCTCGTAAGGATAGCAATTAAGGATTATTCTCAAACAAAAACGATGGTTCCTTACAGAAATAATTGTGGGGAAAAAATAAATGCTGCCTTGCTTGCAGAAAGCAAAAAATGCAACGTTAAGCGATTTGCGCTAAAGTTGCTGAACGGTGAGGTGAAGTAGCACACGAAACGCCGTAACGGCGTATTACGACGTTTTAAAAGCCATCTTCGGCCTCTTACTTTTCTGCACAACGAACAAAATGATTTTTTGGTATTACCATAGGCATTCTGGTATATCAGATCTTATTTGGTATATCTGGTAGTAAATCTTACCATTTGACGCCTGCCTGATATACCATTTAGCAATGGTATATCAGCCGTACCACAATACCATATACCATTTGGTATCAACAACCCTAGTTTGCGCGCGCAACATCCGGCTGCCGAGATATGGCGAACTAAAACGGGCGAAAAGTTTAAACGCATTGTTGTGTGCCAAATATCTGGTTATGACCCGATCTTCTTGAAACTTTGCTGTAAAAGACACACGTCCATAAAGTCGAAAGTGAACCAATATCGGATTTAGAGTATTTTTTTTCAAATTTTAAAACGAATATCAAGAATTTTTAAATTCATTTAAAATTATGGGTCAGTCAGTGCTCACGCTCACGTATAACTGCACCGGCGTGATTTGAACTGAATTATACGGAGCGCACAACGCCGTACAGTTCACCGCCAGTTAATGCTTCGCCGGACAGTATCCTTACATTTACGCATATAAGTTACAATGTTGTATTATAACGAACGAAAAATATAGGTATCCGCAATTGCGACTACATTTGTGTTGCTGCCTACTATTTTGCTTTAATTCGTCGTCAGTCTACTAGTTTATCCGATACCTACATAAGTTAATCCGCTACCGGCCGGATTTTCTTCGAACTTATAAATTAACCACATATTTAAAACAATTTTTTCGCTATAATTAAAAAAGAATAACTTTACAAAAAATATTTTTCGGGTGTGCCCGGGTTTACCGAATTCAGAAACTGTTATTGGTAAAAAGCCTGATTTTGCAGCTTGTTTTTATTAATGACTGTATGGGCGTTGAGAAGGGACTTAACGGGAGTCGCATAATAAATTTGCTTAAGTGTCAGAATTTTGGCATGCCAATCCCCGCAAATCTCCTAAAGCCGGTCATTTTCCAATGATACCGGCCTGTATGGATTCCAAAAAATTAATTAAGCGTAACTTTACGCCTTCCAAAAACCCCTGCGGTAAATTAATGAATGAATCAGAGTTTTTTTGGTCGAGCTTAGTGCTGTGATTGGCACAAAAAATTTTAAGAAAGACAGTCCGCGGAAATCGGCCACATTTACCTCATGCAAGAAAAGGTGCCCGCGTGACATGAGCATTCTGCAGTTGAAGAGCTATGCTATTTGTATATAAGCGTAAGAAATAAGCATTTTTTTAGCAGTCTGCAGTATTCTCTTTTTTCAGTTATCTGAGCACAGTCTGGAATACAGTAGCAACGCTACCGCTGTCTGTTTCTTCGTTGACTTGTGCCCTCTGCAACTGCCCAACATGCATACGCGCGCTTTCCTCATCCTCACCATCACCATTCTGCTCCTGGCCGCCTACTCCGGCCCGGTGGCTGGCCAGTGCAACTTATGCTCGTGTAGTATGACTTCTTGCAGGAAGATGTGCCAACTTCAGTGCTCGCGCCCCTTGCGTGTTGCTCGTGCCGCTGAACTGCCAAGCCTTATGGAAATGACCCTCAAAAAGATTAAGAAAAGCCCGGGTCCTTTGCATAAAATTAGGAAGCACCCGGGTCTTGCTGACTAACGGGCCCTGGCCACAACATCCGATTCCTGTTAAGGATGTCCATTATCTGTCAACTAGCTGACGCAAAAAAATATCTGCGCGCCTTTGACGCTTTTGCATGTACAGATAGAACATACTTTTCAGACTACAGTCTGATGCTAAAGCGAATGAATGTTGTCTAAGCGGTTTACCTTGATGCGACTAGGTGTTCTGACCCGCTTGCCATAAAATTTCGCACTTGTATCGGAAGTTGTTTTCAAGTACTTAATGTGATTTCCGCTTTGCTTTTTTTCTTATGTAATGGACGATCCAATAAACTGGGCCTCCGATCCGTCGCTTCTCCCTCATTAAGCGCTGTATAAGTACATAGTTCAAATAAATGATCCTGTACGCGTATGTAAAATAAGGTATCGGCTGGATGGTGTTTTGTAATTCGAATCCCCGGTGCTTAATCATGTATGGCCGAATGAATCAGCGCAGCCATTAACTTTCTGCTTTAGAAGTTATGACGAGTAAGCTGTCTACAACGAAAGACCTTTTTCAGAAAACACAGGAAAATTGCAAACGTACAGGATCATTATAACAGGATAAGTAAATGCTTCTAGATATCTTTAATTGATTATTCTAACGTATGATTTCAACAGAGCGATTTTCTTGCATACACAGTGCAGATGCATAAACGGTTTAAACACGCTTTCTTAACGTGAGTTGCCGCAAATGACTGCTCTGGGGCAAAATTAAACCTCTTGTTAAGCGAGACAGTCAGCGGCTAACCAGACGAAACGCATTATTGTAATGCCAACGATGCAGCTACAAATTTTGCCAGTAAAAAATCTTTTATACAAGTTACTCCACCAAGCGAACAATTTGCTGATCAAAAACATCGAATTTTTAATTCCATAGGGGCAAAATCCGCAGAGCTTTTGATCTGCACAAAATGGACAGCAACTGCAGAGCTGACAAACCAACAAAAAACAGAACTAAAACTAGACACTCATCACTGCTCATTGCTTCCGTTGATTGCCCGACACCGGGTAGTTAATGTGGCCAACCCTGATAATTAATAACCCGGTAACAGAATTAGGCGCCTAAAACAGCAAGATGTCCGAGAACTTCGTGCAGCTGACACAAAATCATTAGCAGAGGTGATTGTCTCGCTTACATACAAGATATAAACCGGTAACACCTTTATCATTATTATGAGTTTGTTCGTGTGTATAGCAGCGGAATGAGTTACGATGAAATTGACTCTAACGTTCACATCAGATCAGAACTGTATGCAAAGAATTACTTACACTGTACCGGTTGTTACTCACTTTTTCGACAATGGGAAGATACCCATGGCGTGGCATGCAGTACAACTGCGCCGATGGGATTATGATAGAACCGCCATACAAGCACAGCGACACAAAGGTCACCGTCAATTAAATATTTCACCCGCATGCGGCCGGAGCAAATACACGCCCTGAAGCAATACTCTTATAATAAGAATTGTAATTCTTGTGTAATGCGTAAAAGCAAGGTATGGTTTTAAAATTACTTGGAAACATTTCTAATTCGATTCCCGAACAATATAAACGCCAACAATTTGAAAACATAACTCGAAATCTTCTCTAGAATTCTAAAATTATTACCTGAAGATTATTTCAGTTCTGATAATATATTACGAAACTGCTGTACGAAACTTGGCAGTTTTTGTACTGGTACACAGGAAATTAAATGTAGTGGCCGTGAATCAAAAGAAACGCGGAGGCAAAGCCGAGACTGTTTCTTGTATATATACATAATAAATATAACCAGGACCTACTGTATACAGGCCTAATAAGACGCTTGTGCAGTACGAGATGACGTAGCAGTAGATCAGACGGTTTAACACTGCACCAGTGCAGAAAATGGTGATTTCTGCCGTTTTACGACCTTCTCTAGTTTCAAATTCGTTTACAATCATTGAGTTTTAAGTAAAAAAATGTTCCTTTTTCTTATCCTTATCAAAATCTATGGTGGAAAATGGGTTCACAAAGTGCAAACTGGAAAAAGAAGCAAACTACTGCAACGAAGATGCAGTTCCACTCATACAGCATACTGTACTCAGTGTACTGTTTGTTCCAAGCACGCCGTGTTACAGCCTTTACTGCATTAACTTTTATCTTGCTGCTTTATACGAAGCCTATAATAATTTTGTGTTTTAATGCCCGCGTGGAGCTTTTTACGGAACGAAGAATTACGGAAGCTATTACCGTGCTGCTGAGGTATTGACTGGGACGAATCTTGTCCTTCTTCACCAGTTTTACGTTCGGTTTTTAGATTTGGTCGAACTGTTCTGAGAATTTGTGCTACTACAATCTTTGACTATTCTCGAAGAACTCTTAATGTTGATGTTTGGAGGCCTAACAAAATTGTAAACGAAGCATTATTGACAGTGTCACCGTAGCAGCAGGTGAGCTGGGACAACAGCAGTTATTGCAATAAAACTTCCCAGTTTAAAGCTTTCCAGTCGGTCTATATTCCATTTTATGGCCCAAATTAGTTTCAGAATTTTTTTTATTTTATTCTACAATAAAAACTGTTATCAATAATAACAGTAACTCTAAAAACCAACCCAAATCAATCCATCATTCTCATGCTCTGCATTGGTAAATATTGATAACTGTCTCATCTACTTCGACGTCATCGAACCTCTTATTAGGCCTGTATACAATAGGTCCTGATATAACAAATATAAAATATAAATATATATAATAATATGCATAAATTGTAATATAAATGTAACACTTAGAAATTTATTTTGCCGCTAAATAATATTTGCAGTGGAGTGATGACTTACAAGCGAGTGTTGACTTTGCACGATTATGAATTTATTTTCAAGTTTATGCACTCCAGAAGGCAGCTGGGAAGCGAAATCACTTTACAAGTGTAACATACATAATGAAGGCGCTTATGTCTGCAAGACTGCAGATGCACGGTCAACGGAGATATTGGTACAGGTACATGTACAGATGTACTCGTACATAAAGTACTGCATATCGTTATATACGATGAACGCCGTAGATGCAGTCATGCAATTAGCGCGCAGACACTGTAATACGCAGTAAACAATGAATGCAACCGAACCGGAAGTCATCGGCTATGGAACGCTAGTGGCGTCAAGGTTAGTGTGAATCGCAGAACAACAAATTGCTCCCACAAAATCATT